CAGACATAAATAGAGAAGTTTTTAAATATATGTTAATCAAAAATTCTGTTTTTTTCATATAAGTTTTTCATATAAGTTTAACAGATTTCAAATCAGCAAAAAATACCATATCCTGTCAGATCAATTTAACAAAAGAAAAGTGAAACTTTTTTTCTGAAAAGTCAAACAGTATTATTTCGTTAATAACAGTATTATTTAATTAATAAATAATAATTAATAAATAATAATTAAATAAATACTTAACTAAATATATAAATAATAGATAAATATTATATATTATTGTATTAATGTAATTGATGGTCAAATTATGTTATCTATTTTATAATTAACAGTATACTTAATTTTGTTAAATTTTGTTAATTTTACTTAAAAGATGATATATTTGATAATTTTTTTGTGTATTGTGTTGTAGAATGTCAGGGCAGAGTGGTGGACAACGAGTGTGTTTGGCCAGACTTAATGAACACTTGACATGCAAATTATGTGATGGATATTTTATCGATGCGACTACTATTATAGAATGTTTACACTCGTGTACAGTATCTTTCTATTATATCACACATAACGCTGTATATTCAACTTTAACTAGTAACTAGATACTAAGATCTTTAATGGTTTTTACAGTTTGCAAAAGTTGCATTGTTAAATATTTGGAAAGTAACAAGTATTGTCCAATCTGTGAAGTACAGGTTCACAAAAGTAGGCCACTATTAAATATACGTCCTGATCATATATTACAGGATATTGTTTATAAACTGGTACCTGGATGTTATCAAAGTATGTTTTTTTTTTTTTTAAGAAAAGAATTTATTTCTTTCATATTATGTATGAGATGGTAACAATGATGAAAACATTGTTTCAGACGAAATGCGACGTCGGAGAGAATTTTATGCAAAACATCCAGAAGAATCTATTCAAACAATATCTGCTGAAGCTCGTGGAAAACCTATAGAATCATACATATATTCTCCGGATGAATCTCTCAGCTTGTCCCTGGAATACTCTGATCCTCGTACAAAAGATTTAAGTGAGACGAATACTGAAAAATCCATTTTAAGGCGATATTTTCGATGTCCTGCAGCAGTCACAATATTCCATTTACAAAAACTGATAAGAGCCAAATATGGCCTTGGTGATGTAAATAGAGTTGATATAATGTACGAAGAAGAACCATTATGCAGTAGTTATTCATTAATGGATGTAATGTATATCTATCATTGGAGGCGGGTACGTATTTAATTAATTTAATATTGAATTCGATTATCTGTGCATACATTATTTATAGTAATTGTGTTTATTGTATTGCAGAAAGTACCATTGCACTTAAGTTATAGAATATTTGAAACATCTTCAAAACGTTTGAAATTATCGGAAGATAATGCAAACTATAAAAAATCATTAATGGATGCTGGTATTGATTCTATAGAAATAAAGGATGAGAAATCGTTAAAACGCGAGTGGAAAGAAGTGCAATTAAAAATATCGGAAACAGGAGTAATGAGTATAACTGATATATCGAATACAGTACATAAAAGAGACATCGAGACTTTACAAGATGAAAAAATTCCAGAAGAGACTATAACCTCCATTGCGGAAATTAATAAAGTAGATTCAGTGATAGAAACTTGTGGTATTCCTAAATCTGTAGAAATAATGCAATCTACTTTAATCATTGATCCAGAATTAACGAAAAATCCAATATTTTCTGATCCGAATGATGCATTCCTTGTTACGAGTGACGTTAAGTTTACAAACGAGAATTTACCGACTAAGAATTGTACGCCACTGACAACCAATCAGCACAATGGAACTGCTACAAAGCAGGCAAATGAAACAAAAAATTGCACCGCTTCTACAAAATCGCAACAAGATGCACAAGAAGTAAAAGTCCAAAATCAAATTGTTAATGTCGAAGACAAATTTGAGACAGTTTCACAAGAACAAAAGGTTATTGATCAATCGCAACAATCAACACAATTTACAGAGAAGAAAGTAATTGAAATTAAAGATAAAGAAAAGATAGACGCACATGCGGAAAAGATGTCAATAAATAATAACAACAATAGTGCGGATTTTCAGACTGAATCTCAGAAGGAATGCATTAAAAATTCAAGTGAAACAAAAATGGTAAGTGCTGGATCAAAAATTGATGCATTAAGCGCGAAATTACAATTTCAACCAAAAGTAGGTCAAGTTAATAACACTTATTCCAAGAAAGCGCCAAAGGAAAAACGAGCGATGCTTCAGCAAGGTACGAAAAAATCCGATGTAAAATCATCAACCGAAGATACAAAACTTACTGATACGAAAGCGCAAACAAATTGTGAGAATGTAACGAGTAAAGTATCAGTTTCGGTGGCAACTTCTTCACAAAAATCGGTTATGTCTACTACGGTGGCATCTCAAAATATTTCAGATTCCTTGTCAGTATCTGATAAACAAAAAGTTCTCGACGAGAAGAATAATCAAAGTATAAGTATTGATTTGCAACAAGCTTTGAATTTGTTGGAACAGAGAAACTCGCCTGTACTAGCATCGTCAGAGTCTGCTCCGAGAACGAATCACACCGCCGGTATGATCAATCAGAGATTACCGAACAATATTGTCACGATGAATGAGGATATTGTGTCTACTGTACCAAACATTTCTACAGCCACGATTAGTCAGACAACATCAACATTTCCCTACGTTTCGCTTCACGACATTGTAACTAACTCAGCCGTCCTAAAATCAGCATTAAAGAATTCCAGTAACATACCTCAGAAACCGTTAGGAACATCGCCCATTGCTTGTTCAACATCCAATAACCAAATATCACCGATGTCTCAATTCAACATGCAAGCGTCACCCATGAATATGTATTCTATACCTACGTCGCTAAAGAATAATTACAGTAACGTAAGTCAAGATGTAACTACTGTTACGATTGCATCCACAGCAACGATCACTACGACGGCGATGTCAAAACCAATATCGACTGGTGTGTGTCCAATACCTCCATGTCCGGATGCAATCCCTATATCTCTGATGAAACAAATATCTATGCGTAAGCAGGACATGGCCGCAAAGGGTACCAATCTGAATGAAATTTGCGCAAAAATCGGTTCCAATACGATCGGCTCGAAGATCAATGATATCTGTGCAAAGATAGGAGAAAATTCAAAGGAGAAGAACAGAGTAGATGCGCATAATAAGTCGGAAGTGCCAGATCTGCTTAGAATAAGCGCGAAGAAGAATTCT